TCTTCTTCTTCTTCTTCTTCTTTCTTCTTCTTCTTCTCTCTCTGCTCCCTGTTGCCCTGTCTCTGACTCTCCCAGCTGCTGGAATGTAAGCTCCATAACAGAAGGACTCTGCCCCCTGTGTTCATTGCTGTAGCCCCAGTGCCTGCTAGGGCAGCAGCACCAGGTGTGGTGTGGCTGCTGAATGGCCCCTTCCTAGGTCTCCACCATGATCTGGAACTAAACACCTCACTCTCTCTGTTCTTCGGTCCCCATCTTTCAGTTCTCTAAGCACCTTGCTTTTTCCTGCCCAGAGCCTTTGCACGTGTTCCTCCTCTGCCCAGAATTCCCACACTGTCTCTCCCTCATTTTGCTTCAATACCTTCTACTTTTTTTTAAACTCTCAGCTCAATTGATATTTCTATGCGGAAACCTTCCACAGTTCATATCACCAACTCTTTCATGGTTCTTTTCATAGCTTGAATTTATATTCATTTCAATGATTCTGTGATAATCTATCTTCCCCACCATTCTGACAGCCCAGCTGGTGAGTCTCAGGTCTGTTTGGTCTCATCCTTTATCTACTGCACCCAGGGCAGCGCTTGGCCCAGAGCAGGTACTCAGAGTACACTGGAAGTGGTTGTTGGAAGAATGAGTTCACTAAAGAGTAAATACTGGATTTCATTGGTTCTTAAGAAGTAGACTTGCCCCAAACTTAACATTTCTGAAAAAGGATGCATCTTGCCATTGATGGCATCTTAGAGTTGATGAACATGTTTTTAATAAATACATTACTATATTCTGTTTCACTAGTAATCGAAGAAATGCAAATTAAAGCAAAATGCTATTTTTCAGGTACCAGGTGGACAATGATTTTTTTTTTAGTGAATTTTAAAACATTAAATAGTGGGGGCATCTGGCTGGCTCGGTTGGTAGAGCATGTGACTCTTGCTCTCTGGGTTAGAACTTTTATCCCCATGTTAGGTATAGAGATTACTTAAAAATAAAAAAAAAAAACTAAAAAACTAACAATAAAAAATAAAAACAATAACAATGTTGGTAAAGGTGTGAGGAAATAGGTACTTCTACATGCTACAGTAAAAGTTTATACTGGGACAATCTTTCTGGGGAGCAATTTGGCAATATATATTCAAAGTCTTAAAAATATTAATACCCTGTGGCTTATTCAATTTAACAGTTGCTCTAAGGAAGTAATGAGGGATATTTAAAAAGGCTTCTGCCAATGATTCTCACTAAATAACATTTAATAAATATTAAATAAAAAATTGTATGTAAGTGAAAAAATTGAATAAGTAGTGGAAAATTGACTCAAGGTAATCTGTAAAATGGAATATAGTCCAATGGTAAGTACATGTGTTCTCAATTTTTAAAGATGTGGAAAAATATTCATAATACAATATATTTTTCAATAGACTGTAAGCTCCGTGAGGGCAGGAACCACGAATATTGCATTCGGTCTGTATTCAATATCTGGCACAGTGCCGACACATAAATATTTGTTGAATATGGAAGTGAAAAAGCAGGTGTTAGATATAACACGGAGTGGTGCTGGGATCCTAGAGGCAGGGCGCCCTTGTTCAGTAGGGTAGTGGTGGCTTCACAGTGCTGAGGGGACACCCCTGCCCACACAGCCCCTGCACTGGTGCACCCTTCCCCCCACCGCCCCCAGCCTTGCTTCCTCTGCGCTTCCTCCCTTCGCTCGCACCATGACTGATCAGCTGACTGAAGCACAGACTGCTGAATTCAGGGAGGTTTTTCCATACTTGACAAAGATGGCCATAGCGCCATCACAACAAAGGAACTTGGAACTGTCATGGGGTCACTGGGTCGGAACCCAACAGAAGCCAAATTGCAAGATATAATCAATGAGGTGGATGCCGACGGTAATGGCACCATGGACTTCCCAGAATTTCTGACTATGATCGCTAGAAAAATGAAAGCCACAGTGAAGAAGAAATTCGGGAGACATTTCAACTCTTGACGAGGATGGCACTGGGGACATCAGTGTGGCGGAGCTCCATCATCCACAACCAGCTTAGGAGAAAAACAGATGAAGAAGGAGATGAAATGATCAGAGAAGCAGGTATCAATGGAGAGGACAAGTCAGGTATGAAGAATTTGTACAGATGGTGACTACAGGAAGAAGACCTACTTTCAACTCCCTCCCCCGACTCCAGAAGAATCAAATTGTATCTCTTCCCGCTTGCAAAAAAAAAAAAAAAAGTTATGCATTCTGTTCCTATATAACAAAACTGAATGTCAGAAGCACTTTCTGTCCACACGCACAAAATCTGTGTGTGTGGGTTGGTGGTCCTCTCCCCTGAAGACCAAACCACACATCAGTTTTACGATAGAAACAGCTGTACCACCTGAAGATAAGGAAGCACTTAGTGGACTCCTTGCAGTCCCATTCGCTACTGGTTATTAATACACTGGGCTGCCCAGTTTTTCATGCATGTGGCTTGACGATGGAACAGGTCAGGCATTTGTATTAAAAACAAAAAAATGAAAAAACAAATTTAAAACCTATTCAGATGGGTTCTAGTTCAGTCTGTTACTATAAATTGCCATAGCAGGTTTACCGAAAACAAACACTTAAAATTGGTTTACCTCAGGATGCTGTGCGGGAAAATGGGTGAAGGATAAACTGTCTAGACATAGCCCCCACCCCCCGGAGGACAGACCCCCTCCCCCGTCGTACTTACGGGTGTCCCCACCCATGGCGACGATGACACTCCTCCTCGTGGCGTGCTGCGTGTGTCCGTTTAGCGTTCTCCACGTTGTACTAGAGAGAAATGGATGTCAGGCTGTCACCCACACACATTTTCAAAAAGAAACCTTATCAAGGAAGCATCTGTGGATGGTCTGTTTTTGAAACTTTCTGAAGCATGACTTGGAGCCAATGGAGTAGGCTGTGGCTGTGGACTTCATTGCAACCATCAACATTGCTGTTCAAGAAATTGCAGTTTACGGCCATTCCAAGTTGTAAATGCTAGTCTTTTTTTTTTTTTCCCCTTCCAATAAAAAGGCCATTAACTTAAAAAAAAAAACCCCACATACTGTAGGATGATCCCAATTTTATTAAAAAAAAAAATGACTGTGGGTACGTGCTGAAGATAAGAGGCACATACAGAAATATGTGAAAGCAGTTTATCTGTGAAGAACGCAGTTACGAGTGGTTTTTGTTTTTCTTTGTACTTTTCTATATTTTTCCATGTTTCTATGAGGTACCCATATTAGTTTTATCATGAGAAAAATTATTAGCTTGCCTGTTAAACTACACGTTGGTGTTAAAGGAATGAACATGAGGAATGTGGTCAGTGGCAGGAAGGATTCACGAAGGAAGTTTTCTTGGAGCCCATGAGATTGTTGAATTGAGGATTAAACAGAGTGAATGGATATTGTCCGTTCCAACCTGAGCCCTTGACAGGAATCTGGACCCAATAATCCTTGTGGAATTTGCAACTCCCCCCCCCTCACCCCCCGCTACCCCCCACCCCACCGCCCAAGCAAGAGCCCATTTGTCGGTTCTTTGTCCAGACCACTCTCGGCCTGCCTGCTCTAAACAGTTGCTTATAGTTCTTAGTTACCTTTGTGGCTTGGATTGACCTTTCAGTTTTTTTTTGTTTGTTTTTTTTTTTTTTAGATATTATTTATTTATTTGAGAGAGAGCAAGAGATCACAAGCAGGTGGAGGAGCAGAGGGAGAAGGAGAAGCAGACTCCCCACTGAGCAGAGAGCCTGATGTGGGGTTCGATCCCAGGACCCTGAGATCATGACCTGAGCTGAAGGCAGAGGCTTAACCCACTGAGCCACCTAGGCGCCCAACGCCTCAGTTCTTATTCCCACCTTTGGTCCCTTTGCTCGGATGGGCACTGTGGATGAGAGTCTTGGACTCTCTTGAGCTCTCTCTCTCCCTTGGCTCTCATTTAGTTTTTGCTCTTGGCCTTGAAGCACTATAGCTATGGTTCAGAGCCTCTTGGCCTCTCTCTTGTGCTGAGAGCTGTGGCCTCATCTGCTGTGCTTGGCGTTGAGAGCCTAGAATGCTGCTTGACAGACAGTCGATGTTCAATACATATTTATTCCGTGCACAAATGGTGATCCCTGGAAAAGTTGGCAGAAAGGAAGCAGGCATGTACTCAGTGTCCAGGTGGCCTATGGCAGGGCCAATGGAACAGCTGAAGAACATGGGATGTGTTTGTGTGAAATACATCAGATGCAATACTTTGAAATGTAACAATGGTCCCATGTAGAAGTTCAGATGCTGGAATGTTGGGGAAAAAGTTCTGGAAATGATGACTTTCGTAGTACCATGTCTTTAACTGGGTCTTCAAGTTCAAAAATTTCATATATTTTCATTTGTGTATGAGAGGGCATAAAACACGCATACACACACACACTCATACACTCACACACACACCACACAAGGCATGTTCCTTATTTGATTCCTTTAACATTTTGTTCCTTCTAGTAAAGCCAGTAATTCAAGACAGTTGCAACAGAGGGCAGAGTTGTGTAAGTCATTTGAACACCTTTTTATTCTTGCCTGAAAATCACCCCAAATACATATTACAGTGATATGTGGACTGTGCTGTGGAAATGCTCCTTTGACTCTCTGGTTTTCATTATTTACATATCAAGATTATTTAAAAGCATTAGGTTATTTTTCCTGTCATTGTTTCAATGGTAACGTGTTTAAGTGCTAATAAAAGCAAAGTGCTAATCCCTTGAGAGAGAAATACTGAAATATGGATAATGTATTTATAACTCCTGTATCAAGATTAAGTGATAGGGACTCTTTGGTCCTTTCCAGATATGCTTTATTTAGGATTACTTACCTTTCTTTCCAATTTAGTGCTGGAATGCAGGCTTTTTGAGGTTACCACCACTGACAAATGACGATTAATGTTCTTTATTGCGAAATTTCTGAAGCTCGTGGGCAAGACCAGAGAAGCGGAAGAGCTGTTCTTGAGTGTCGAGAACATACTTGTGCAGGTAAAGTGGGAAATTACTTTAAATCCTTCAAATGCTGTTTTGTTCATATCAGATATTTTCAGATATCATTTACCTTTGTTCCCTTATAATGTCATCCGCAAACAGAGGACTTAATAATAAATAACAGATACTAATTCAATTGCATTGATCAGGGAGGAAGCTGACTTTAATCCATAGCCCAAACTGTAGATTAGTACCAAAAAGTAGTAGATAGATGGGAGCCATTTTTTGAAGGAATGAATACCAAGAAGTACAATTTTTGAGGGAAAAAAGAATGTCGATAAAGCAAAAGGAATAGAGTACTGGGTTGAAATGAACTAATAAGAAACATATTAAGGACTTGGTTATGGTTATAACTGGTTATAATTTTTACAAAAATATTGGAAAAGGTTGATTATCTTGTCTCTATATTAATTTACTTTTTCTGAAATATTAAGTTTTAGCTTTGTTGACTATAATGAAAGTTTTACTCCTAATACATAACAATAACTGTGTGTATGAGGACATTTAACTGGCCTTTAAAAAAATTATGTTTTTACTGATTTCAGTAGTGTTTATAGACCAAGAATAGTGTAACCCAAGACAAAGCTGTTTTTATTTTAAAACAAAGAGCTACAGATTTTTTTTATTTTAAACAAAGAGTGTTTACACAAAACACAAAACAAAAATTTATTTTAAAACAAAGAGTGTTCACATAAAACACTGCCTCTGCCTCCATCAGCACACACCTTTATAGAAAGAATTCTGTTTAAAGAGATTAGTAAGACTTAACATGGCAATTCTCCTCATGGTGGAGGCCATGCTTATCTACCAATTTTTGTATCCTCCGTGGTGTCTTACAACCTACAGCTGCCTAATAAATCAGTGAATCAATTTGACTTTGCAAATACTTCATGTCCTTAGAAGGCGGCACAGAGTAGTGAATAGAGCGTGGGATGTTTTCGGGCTGACCCAGATTTAAAGAGCTTTGGCACTCACTGCTGTGTGACCTTGGTGAGAATTTTAACCTCTCTGACTCTGTTAATGGATTCTAGTATCTGTCTCAAGGGGTTGTTAACAGGGTCAAGTAAGAAAGTACGCAAAGCACTCCACACACCGTGTGGCCAACAGTGAGAGCTTAAGAACTGGTAGCTCTTGTGTTATTTCTGTCTGTGGCTTATAAAGTCCTGGGATGCCCAGGTTAGAAACAGTAAGACTGCTCGATTTAAGCTATCTTGGCCACTCTTTCATCTTCTAGGGGGTGGAGTCCAGTGATTCTCTGCTATCTTACTATTGACTGTGGAATTTTCCCCTGTGCCCCCAATTTTCTTTTTTTTCCACCAGGTCCAGATGACCATTACTGACAGGTGTCTGTCTAGAGAGTACCAGTTTTCTTACTAGGTCATCTCTGAGTGCCTGGTTCCAGTCATTCACTTAGTCATTCACTCTTTCATCCCCTCGGCTGACTCTCACTGAGGGCCTTGCCTCGCCTGTGAGGGAGCACTGTGCCGGGAGTTGGGGTGGTAGCAGTGAGCGAGGCAGGCACAGTTTCAGCCCTCAGGGAGCTCCCCGTCTAGCTGGAAAACACTGGAAACACACAAAACAGCCATGAAGCAGAGCCTGTCAGATACATGGCCGTGAAAGGATAAGACAGCTTCGTCGGAGGCGCGCCACAGCTTAGACGTTCAAAGAAAATTTCCCTCCTCAGAGCACTCCTTTGCAAGGCATCAATCTTATGATTCTGTTCTCAAAATATTTTTGCAACAATGCTTTGGGCCTAGCCACCGTGGAGACTGTTAAAAGAATTTTCTTTAGGCTCTGAAGTTACTTCCAAAAGAGAAGTTCTAAAACTATTTTGGCAATAACAACGTCTTTGAAATAGGTGCCTAACATTCTCAAAGGGAAGGATCTTGTTATTTGTGATGTATGCATTCTGCGTGTACGCCACTGTTGTAATCTCTTCAGCTTATTCAGGTCATTTAGGAATTTTAATGCAGCGGTTTTCAGCTGGGAGGTAGTTTTGGTGACACTGGAGCCATTTTTGGTTGTCACAACTTGGGGGTGGGTATTGCCACTGGCATCAGGTGGGTAGAAGCAAGGTGTACTGCTTGCTGTGTATCCTGCCTGCGTGGGACACCCCCTCCCCCCGCTTGACTCACATAGCGCAGAGCTAGCCTGCCCCACGTGTCAGTGGTGCTCAGGCTGAGAAGCTGATTTGATCGGTCTGTCTGTTAAAAAAGTAGATCTCAGGCTCTCCCCACTCCAGTTTCATAGTCAGTGTGGCAGGCAGCTGGAAAACCAAAAAATACTTTTGTGAACGAGCCTCTGCTTATGTGTCAGTGACTTACTTGTTAAGTGTGCAGAGCCGAGCTTTGGGGAGAGGAGGTCTGGGTGCGATGCCCTTGCTCTCCTCCTTGCTAGCCATGCGGGCTTGGGTGATTTATAGAACCTCATGGAGCCTCAGTTTCCCCACCTGTAGTAGAGGAGCAATAATCCCTATTTCATAGCATTTCTCTAAATACCTACTGAAGTCACGTGTGGCAAGTGCTCAGCTCAGTCGGGGCTCCAGGGGTGATGGCTAGTGCAGACTGTGACCCGAGAGTGGAACTCTGCTTGTGCTAACACAATCACTGTGAAATATAAACAAATATTTACTGAGTGCCCATGAAGCTCTGTGCCTGGATGGTGAGATAGTCTGGAGTTAGAGGAGAGTGAAGGACCTGTTTTCATAAGGAGGAGGCTTGACAACATAGCACCAAATTTGCCATGCCGATGGGTGCTTCTGGCAACGTGGGCAGTGAGACTCAAGGGTGGCAGGACCTTGGTAGTTTGGTGGGGGCTCAGGAGCTGTCCCCCTCCCTGAGGCTTCTGCCCCACTCTAGACTAGAAATGTGGCCAGGACATGGGGAGGACTCAGGGAGGCCCTGAGGACTTGAGCCTGGTTGACAGGCACAGAGAAATCCAGAGAGGAAGCTGATTTGGAGAGGGAGACGATAAATTTTAAATATTTCAGCTACTGAGTTTGCAGTTGGGGAAAGATATCCAAGTGGAGTCTCCAGCCAGCTGGAGGATAGGTAGTGTTGGAAATCTGGAGAGAGACTTGGTGGGGGACGTCTACTTACATGCGAATGCCAAAACACGCAGGGAAACAAGGCCTCCAAGTGATGATAGGAACTGGTTCCTGGGAAGTTATTTATACCTAAAAGGAGACAAGGAAAGAAGAGCTTGTAAAGGAGTGAGGGATTAGAGGAGGGTAGGGGGATCATAGTTTCCCCTGAACCAGGGAAGGAGGAGGGCTGCTTAGGGGGCTGGACAAATGAAGACCAAAAGAAGGCCCCTAATTCTGGTGAGTGCAGTCAGTGGTAACCCCAGAGATGGAAGGGGGTGGATGTGGGAGGAGCTGAACTGCAGGGCTTTAAGAGGCAAGTATGTCATAATGAAATGGAGAACCAGCACAAACTGATATTGGTTTGAGAAGCTTGTCAGTAATAGGAAAAAGATGAAAAGTCAAAGATATTATCAGCTTCAGATGAGGTTTGATCCAGGAGATGTATGTCTGTATGGAGCAGGAAAGGAGCCAGGGAGATGGGCAGATTGGAGATGCCAGTGGAAACTCTGTTCAGGGGACAGGACTCTTGAGAGTTCAGGGGGCGGTGGGTCCTTGAAAAGGAGGTTGGGCATCTCTTCCTCTGAGATAGGCAGGAGGGAAGAAAATGGGTGGAAACACTGGTAACTTGAAATTAATTGAAAAAAAAAGGGTAAATGAAGTATACAGACTTTAATTTTCCAAGATCTATCCCCGCTTTCAAAGTAAGTAATGTACCCCGCTCCTGAATGTTTAGCCCCGCAAGTGATTGGAAAGACTGCATTTCCCAGCTTTCCTTGGAGCTAGAGATGAGCACGTGCCCGAGTTTGGGCTGGTGCCACGTTAAGGGAGAGTATATGGGTAACTTCTAAGAGGTTTTCATGAAGTGAAGAGTCTGATCTTCTCCTCTTTCCTCCTTCCTGCTGGTTGGACTGTGGCTATGATGGCTGGAGATGGAGCAGCCATTTTAGACCAAGAGGCGTCCTTGGAAATAGAGGTCAGGCAAGGTCAGGAAACAGGTTAAAAGGAATCTGAGTCTCTGACATCATGATATGTCTGTAGCTCCAGGCCACCTACTTCCTGACTTTTGCATGAGGGAGATATCAAGTCACTATTCATTTGGGTTTTCTGTTACTTGCAGCCATTCATGATCCGAACCAATATCTGAGGGCAGTCTTACAGGGTTCGTCAATATAGTCAGAATGGAGGTGGGGGACAGGAAGAGTGAGCAGTAGGGGTGAGATCTAGGATAGCCGCTGAGAAGGGGCACTTTTAAAGATACATATGAGGGATGCGTGAAAGAGCTGTGGCCTCTGCCCCAGAGATTCCTTACCACACCTGGCTGCCTCCAGGGCTGAGGAGATCCAAATCTCTGAGTAGAGGTAACCTGTTTCCAAAACATCTACTAGAAAGCTCTTGGGTCACGCTGCTGCAGGTCCGTTGGCATGGGGAGCACTTTCAACAGGTGCAGAGCACAAAGAATTCATGCCAAGCAGCCAGGCTCAGCCAGTCCTTTCCTGGGCTCACACTGTGGTAGAGCAGGAAGTATTACAGAACCAATGAGGGTGATGGTTCATTTGAATAGGGCCTCAGTTCTCAGATATATTCTGGTTAATATTACATTTCCTGAAATGAGATTAAGTAGTAAGATAACTCGTCCTTAACTCTCATTTCTTGCACTGGACATTTAGAAAATTATAACCAACTGGTCTATTCTTATGGGTTGAAACAGTTTTGGTAGAGGAGTGATACAAAGTAATGAAGTTTAAGTGCTCCCGAACTAAACAATGCTGAGCCATTAAAGAGAATTTAAATTCAAGTCTCTAAGCAAAAATATGTCTGGTCACTCTTGAATTCAAGGGCCACACTGATAGTGTTTTTAGGAGTTCATTTGAATTCTTGATAATACCTCCCCTGGGAATTTTAACATGTGCAACACACTGTCATGTTATTCTTACTTTGAAAATATTAATTATTATTATTATTATTACTACTATTCTTAAATATGTTATTTATGTGAGAGAGAGAGAGAGAGAGAGAGAGGGAGAGAGAGAGCATGAGCGGGTGGAGGGTGGGGAGCTGCAGGGGCAGAGGGAGAAGGAGGTGCCCCTCCGAGCAGGCTCCTTGATGCAAGGCTCAATCCCAGCACCCCAGGGTCATGACCTGAGCTGAAGGCAGGCACTTCGCCCCGACTGAGCCACCCAGGCACCCCAAAAATATTTATGGCTGTAAACTAAAACAACCTCTGAAAGACCTATCCCCAAATTTACTTTGAGTTTATAGTGTTTCCCAATAACTATTTCGCATCATTTTATAAATATTTAAATTCCCTAAGAGAAGAAATGATATAAAGCATGCCATCTTTTGCGGGCATGTTATGAAATGGGCCTTTGCTGAGTGGGGGTCTTGTTGCTGTGCCAGATCTATGGCTGGCTTCCCCCAGCAGTGGTGTCCTTTCCACTTTGTACAGAGTCAGGCCTTGACAGAGATGCTTCTCAGAGTACAGAACACCACTGGAGAACTCTACCTTGAAATAGGGATGACTCAGGAGGGCTTCCAGTACTTCCAGAAAGCGTGGTCCAACCTGACGGAGTTTCCACCCAGCGCCATAAAAGACAACCAGGCCTTCCTGAAGCAGAAAGTTACGGCAGACAGGTGCGGAGGGGGTAGTGCTTTGTGTTTTGGAGTCGGGCTCCTGGGCCAGACCCAGCCACCAAGCAAGGGGACGTGGATGTGTGTGCTTTGTGCACCTGAGTTTTGTGGCGGTCACGTGAGGGTTGACCAGTCAACGCCCCTCATGGGACGGCCCAGCCTTTGGGGCTGTTGAGGGCCGATCGTGATGTGCGTCAGAAAGCTCCCTTTCTGTGAGCCCCCTCCTGTGAGCAGGACGGGGGCCCGTTCACATGATTCTGAAGCCTGCTGTTCTGGGCTTAAATCTCGACTTTCCACTCACTGACTCTTTGCCTTTAGATCTATGACTCAACCTTTGTCGGTCACATGTTTCATGTTTGTAAGGGAGGGATGAGGGCAGTATCTGCTGTGTGTTGTTGTGAGACTAGAAGGGTTTGTGGGAGACTGTGGAGTGTGCAGGACGGTGGCTGGCCTGCAGTCCAGCGCTCAGGGAACCCGCTTCTTTTATTCTCAGGTAATTGATGGCTGAGGCTCTGTAGGACCACAGAGAGAGCAGAGACAAGAATGTTTACTGAACGAAGATATTAAGCGTTTTTGACCCACTGATTTACAGTCAGTCTAATCTAAAGTATTCTAGACTTACGCTGTATTTATTTATTTATTTATTTTTAAAGATTTTATTTATTTATTTGACAGAGCGATCACAAGTAGGCAGAGAGGCAGGCAGAGAGAGAGAGAGGAGGAAGCAGGCTCCCTGCCGAGCAGAGAGCCCAACGCAGGGCTCGATCCCAGGACCCTGGGATCATGACCGGAGCCGAAGGCAGAGGCTTTAACCCACTGAGCCACCCAGGCACCTCATTACGCTGTATTTAAATGGCTGCATTAATTCACTTTTGTGGTGTAGCAAGCCTGCCCAGGAGGCAGCCATTCGAACAACAGCTGCTTACTGTTGCCCAGAGGTGTGTGCATTGGCTGGGGGATTTCACGGGTCCAGAGTGGGCTCGGCAGATGGAGACCAGCGGGCAGGGCCCATGGGGTGGGCTGGTCTACGAGGCTTCCCTTTGATGTCTGGGCCACACGTTCCTCATCCTCCAGGAGGATGGTGAGGGCCTGTTGGCTTGGTGGCTCGCAGGATTCCAGGAGAGGGGGAGCAGAAGCCTGTGCAGAGGCACAGACCTAGGCTCAGCCCTGGCCCACACCCTCTTGTCCTGCATTCAGTTGGTCAAAACGAGTCACCAGGCCTCATTCAAAGGGAGAGCACAAGACTCACGTCTTGATGGGAGGAGGTGCAGAATGGCATTGCCGAGGGGAATTGGGTGCAGGTTGGCATGGGGGGCTGCTGCTGTTTTGGCGGTGTACCACCAGGGCTGTAAGACCAAAGGTCACCGTGGGCAAGCTACCTTCCCCCGCTCGATCCCAAGTGTAAGTCCAGTTTTACAGTAACACTTACCACTTATTGAATGCTTATTATGTGCAAGGCACTTCATGCTCATGATCTTTTACCCTCAAACGTGTCTCCTGTGGTACGTATTGCTATCCCCATGGTACAGATGAGGACACTGAAGGTCAGAGAGGTAGAATAACTTCAACCACTTCAGCTCTCACAGCCGGCAGGCCTGGAGCTGGGAGTCCGAGCTAGACTGATCAGACCCTAAAGCCTGTCTGCAGGAACTCCTCACCGTATGAAATCTCTTCTAGAACTGACATGTATGAAGCTATAGTCCTCGATATACAGAGTGTAGCTTCTGAGGCACCCGAATGCAGGCAGAGCTGGTCAAAGGCATGCTGGGACCTCAGTGAGCAGAGGAAACCAGGGTGGAAACCAGGCGCACTCAGGTGGGTCCTGGGACTGGCCTTCTAAAGCTGGCTGGAGGGTCTAGAGAGTAGCGCTCCGAGGGGTTGAGCAGACCTTGGCTTGGTGCAGACAAATGTGACTCCTGAGGAGTCCAAAGCAGCAGGAGGGGTGGGGTTCTGCTGGCAACAGAGGCTTGGGGGTAGATCGCTGTCCTTAGTGGCAGCTTTGATGGGAACCCTCTGTAGTTCCAGTGTTCTGACAAGGGTCAGGCCGGGATTCGGGGCCCAAGCAAGCAGGTGAAGGCTCGGATTCCCAGCTGGCCAGAGCTGAAACATTCCAGAACTATTTCCTGAGCACCTGCCATGTGGGTGCTGTGCTGGACAGGACAGTCACCAACTCTGTCCTCTAGAGGAGGGGACACATAACACAATAATTGCAGGCTGGAGTAAATGTAATGAAAGACACAAACGACATGTAGGGGAGCATAAGCAGGGGGAGGGTCCTCTTCCGAAAAGTCCAGAGGCCTCCCTGGCTGAGACGTATGGTCCTGGCAGAGGGAACAGCCTACACAGGGCCCTGAGTGGAGAGGGCCTCGGCCTGTGTTAGCAATGGAGAGAGCCTCCCTGAACAAGGGGCAGGATACAGATGGGCCCACATTGTTTAGGGCCTTGGGCAAGCATTTGGATTTTATTCTCCGTGAGGGAAAGCCGCTACATGGAGTTAGAGTGGGCATGCCGTCATTTGGTTTCTATTGTGAGATTACTTTTGTTGCCTGAACTACACGGTGGGTAAGAGGGGACATAGGGAGATCAAGTATGTGGCTGTCCCTCCAGATGCCCAAGTGTGAGATGGGAGGCCCTGGATGGAGGTGGGCCAAGTGCAGGGGGCACAGGCAGTGAGGGACATACCACCCAGGATGGGAAAGATGTTTCTTGACAGTGTGATGGTAATCCTTTATACTTACAACTGAGTTCCCTGGCTCAGGAGGTTAAATCTGTTTCTTTCTCGCTGCCACTGCTGTTCTAACACCTTCCAGGAACGTTGTTAGGGCTTTTTTTCTTCCTAACAGAATATGGCTTTGAAAACACTTTCCAGCATTTTAGGAGTCTGTATTAGTGTCAGAATATATAACTCTCAATAAAGGAACAAAATGGTGGGCCTTTGCAGCAGGTACATTCCCGAGGCGGTATGTATCAAGGGAGAGCTCATTATTTATTAATTGGATTTATGGGGCTTATTCATGTGTTTCTTATTGTAAGGCTGTATCATTTTATTTCTTATTGCAAGACTGCACTGGATGCCTTCGGTTGGACTCGGTTACCACGGCGATGACTGGTTTTACCACATCCATATTCTTACTTAATTTCTGATCTGTCCATTTGCAGAACGGTCTCAGAATTCACTTTCAATCCATTGTCTTAGCTCTTTGGTCTTTGTAATTGCTGTGCACACACAATCATTGTATGAAAACCAATCCCCATGCAACGTAGGCCAGTCATTGATTTATGAAGAAAAAACCTGGCTATTGGTGGTGATGAAGCAAAGGTATTAAGTACTTTATTGACATCTTAACTCTTTTGTGGAACAAAAAAAACTTCAGCATCACCTTCTTTGCCAAAATTATTCCCTGCAGGCAGAGTGCTGAACAACCTGGCAAAGTCAGCCACTGAGAAGTACTTAAAATCACATTTTGGAACGCGCTGCTGAAATTTCCAGCTTATTGGACAACAACCCCCGTGATGAGGCTACCATGAAATACACCGAAGGTGTTCTGATGTAAACATGGTTTTTTTTTTTTTCTTGGAAAATTATTGTTTTCTGTACTAGCTTTTGTGGTTAAGATCGATGTTCTTAACCCATGCTTATTAGTCCATTTCCCACTGATTGGGTGAAGAAATGCCGAATGTTAGCATTTCCATCTTCTGCTTTGGTGGTTCTCAACCGGGGGTGATTCTCCCCCTCAGGCGACCTTGGGCAATGTCTGGAGGCATTTTTGGTTATTACGACTGGGGGGTTGTTATCAACATCTAGTGGTTAGAGGCCAGGATGTTGCTAGATGTGATAGAGCACACAGGATGGCCCTAGTGCATGCTGCCAGCCCAAAGGTCAGCTGTGCTGGGGTTGAGAATAGTGCCTAGTTTCTTGTAAGATCGTCAAATGTCTGCTTACATATCGCTTTGAAGGTCTCAAATCTCTGCCATTATAAACTGCTCTGCTGTTCTGTGTCTTCCCGTATAAAACACGGGATTTTTTAAAAGAAGATTTTATTTATTTATTTGACAGAGAAAGAGATAGTGAGAGAGGGAACACCAGCAGGTGGAACACAAGCAGGGAGAACAGCAGGCACAGGGAGAAGCAGGCTTCCGGCTGAGCAGGGAGCCTGATGTGGAGCTGGATCCCAGGACCTGGGATCATGACCTGAGCTGAAGGCAGAGAGGCTTAATGACTGAGCCCCCCCCAGGGGCCCAAAACAAAGGATGTTAATAAGAATTACTTTTGATAGCAAAATGAAGTAGCCAGCATTATCGTGCCCAGTAAACATACATGTGTTTTATTTTCAGATTTGTTGCTGGAAACATATCTCTTGCAAAAATGAGATTTCAAGAATGCTTAAATATCAGAAGAAGTTTATTTGGTGAGAAAAACATCCTGGTTGGAGAAATTATGGAATTTTTAGCAGATTTACTATTTTTTCTACCAGAAGATAGTGAAAGGCAAGTTTTTTAAAAAAGATTTTAAAAAATTATTTATTTGAGAGAGAGAGAGAGCATGAGTGGAGTGGAGAGGGGCAGAGGGAGAGAAAGAGATCTCAAGCACAACCTTGAAATCATGACCTAAGCCAAAACCAAGAGTCAAATGCCCAACTGACTGAGCCACCCAGGTGCTCTGATGCAAGTTCTTATAAAATGTCTCAAGTAGTGGGTCTTCTTTCTGCCCCCAAAACGCCAGTGGAAGGGAGTTCTGGGGTTGAGCCATTGGGGTGTCTCACGTCCTTGGCTGTAGCCTTCTTCAGAACCCTGAGGGGCTCACCGTGCCTGAGAGTTATGTCCCTGTTCATTGGTCAGGACACTGACCGCAGTGTATTTGAGAGGAGCTCTCAGCCCACAAAGTGCATAGAGCTCTTGGCAGTAGGAAAAGTACCAAGAAGTATGATGTTGTGTTTCTCTGTACACTCCCAGGCCTCGTGAGGAGGATGGACAACCAGCCCTTAAACCACACCTGCCCTGAGTGGGTCCACTTACATACGGTCCTGTTTCCATAAATACAGTACCAGACTATAAATGCATTTTCTCTTCCATATGACCTCCTTCCTATCATTTTCTTTTCCTTAACTTACTTTATTGTAAGATAACAGTACATGACACAAAGCATACAAATCTGTGCTTATTGACTGCTTCTGTTATCAGTAACCCTCCCAGTCAACAGTGGGCTATTAGTACTTAAGTCTTGGGGGAATCAAAAGATACCAGATTTTCAACTGCACAAGGGTCAGTGCCCCAGCCACCGCATTGTTCAAGGGTCAGCTGTATTCACTTCCTGCTTCTGTGCAGGACTCAACTCCCTCGTTTGTGGGGCCACATCCTTCGGTCTGCCTCTTGCAACTCTAGACCAGCCTGTGATGTCTCAGACATTCCCTCTCTGTTTTCATGCTAACTCTTCTCTGCCTGCTCAGCAAGTCCCCTTGCTGTCCTGTGAGGTGGGGGGCTTTCCTCAGCTCCCCCCACAAGGCACTGTTAAAGCTGTTAAAGAAAAAATTATTCATAATGTTGTAGGCAGGTCAGGGCCAGGGACCAAGGTGGGGGGGTCTTGTGGGACAGCTAAGGGGGTTCTTGGCCTCAGGCAGGATGGAAATGAAACATGAGCCAGCAGGAGGTGGAAGCAGAGTTTATTGAAGATATATGTAGAAAGAGTGAGAGGTGTGTGTGTGTTTGGGGTGGGTGGGGGGTGGAGATACAGATGAGACATCCAGAAGACTCAGAAAGGAAAGATCATGAGTCTTGGTTTTGCTTGGGGTCTGGGGTTTTTACTGAGGGTGACATTCTGGTGTACTTGTCCCCTTAGGCATCCAGGAACCAGTTAGAACCAAGGTGAGGGCCCAGGTGTTACTCCTGGGAACCAAGGGACCTTGGCATTGAGATGTTTGGTAATGGTGGTCTGGAAAGCATGTGTGATGGCTTCATTCAGTCATTTCTTATCTGGTCCTTTCTTAGATGTTATCTGTTCTGGGGAAATCATTAATTCCTTGTCCCTTCCAAGAAGTACATATGCTGTTTGCATTATGAGGCATGTGTAGAGTGGGGTGGAGGGGTACAGGTCCTAGCAAGAGTAGAAGCTAGAAAAAAAGCAAAAGATAAAGCAATTTTTTTTCTTTCATGGGGTCCGTTTGCTTTCTCTGTCTCAATAATAGTTATTAAAGAAAGGTAAGATGGACTTCACTCAGGTCCTGTGGTAGGGTTTTGCAGAGGGGAAGAGAGATTGGACCAAACCCCATATACAAAGAGAAGTTGGGCAGGGGTGGGGGGGTCGGTGGATGGAAAATTACCAAGAGGAAGCACTGGTGGGGAGAGGATTCTGGCTTGATAGACCCAACAGGATTCTTGCTGGAGGCAGACTTCACCTGGGATGTGACGGGGAAGGAGGAACCCAGCCTGATACTGAGGTTGATCAGACTGGTGGGGGTGGGAGGCTCCTTCAACTGACTTTGCAGGAGTCTTGCTAAAATTGGGCAATGCAGAGATGAACACAGAAGTCTAAAAGTTGAGGCCTACTTCAGAAAGAGTGATAAGACCCTGAGCAGAGTTTGGTCAAAAAGAGATTTTTTTTTTAAAGATTTGATGTATTTATTTGACACACAGGCTTCCTGCTGAGCAGAGAGCCTGATGTGGAGCTCAATCCCAAGACCCTGAGATCATGACCTGAGCCAAAGGCAGAGGCTTAACCCACTGGGCCACCCAGGCACCCCAGTCAAGGAGAGATTCTTTGTTGGTTTCTGTGTTTAAGAGAGGGTTGTGGGTATTATGCTGTGGATACCATCAGTGTTAGCATTTGCAGGATCTGACCACTTCTCTTGACAGGTTGGTTGAGAGAAGGGTCTTAGTGAGTCTGGAGAGACAGAAGCAACACACCCTTCCTTTGGCGCTGGCTCACACCCTTTCCTAGCCAAGTCCGCGGACTGAAGGACTGGGGACGCTCTAGGTTCAATTACGAAGTTGTGAAGTTTTGTTTTTGGAGTTTCTGTCCCTCTGCTCTCTGTTCCCTGTCTCGCTTTTCACTTTCAGTTTTCCACTTGCCTGGAGATAATTTCCCTCTTACCTCTCCCCAGGAAGGTAACCTCTTCCTGCATTTGCTCCCAGGAGGAATGTGATGTTGCTAATTTCTAACACTTAAGTCCAAATCCGTATTTAGCCTTTCTAAGAGTATTTACCTGTAAAAGAGTAGCCCAAATAAGGGAATGGGTAAGGGTAAAATTACAGGTGCTACATAGTAGTGGGGACATGGAGGGCTTTGGGATCTGAGTACCTGCGTTCAAATTAGTAACAGGGAGAACTTAACATTTGGTATCTCATTCATTTCTTCACTGGTAAAATGAAAGTGGGGCTTACTATCTTGCTCACAGGGTGGTTGTGAGACCTAAGGGATCCCAGATGTAAGGTGCTTAGCAGAATGCCCGGCACATATACCAAAAGAGTTCATTAAATTGAATTCTTAGTATTACTATTTTGCTCCCCTCCCGGTCATTTTTTAGACACTGGATACCAGATAAGCCTCCTCCTGTTCCTCTTCAGATTAGCACGGTGAACGGAGAAAGGACTCTTCTTTACAGTAGCAAAAGGCGTGGCAGTAGAACCATTTCCTCGTGAAAGAAAAATCTAAGCATGAAACATACTATCTGAGTCATTTCTGCTTCCCCGGGCTGCCCCATCGCAAATCCAGAGCTCGTGGGGTGTGAATCATAGACCTTTGATATCGCTCGTCCATTCCACAGGGATGGCCTCTGTGGCGGCCCACCTGACCATACCTGGGTGCCTTTTGCCCAGCCCTCACTGGCAACGGTCAGCCTTCTGAAACAAGGGAAGGCCTTTCATCTTGTTGAAGGTTGCCTTTAGGTGACCACATCTTTCTTAACACCAGTTAAGACAAGGAGAGATTTTGCTGTGCAGCTCGACTCACCTCTCACACAGGGGTAGAGCCTTTGCCCTGGAGGCCAGGGCCCTTGTGACAGCTGTCATGCATTACAGAAATGATCCATGGGATCCTGAGGGCCTTGTGGCATGTGGATGGGTAGGGCTGGTTAAGTGAGGTTAAGTTAAAAAGAACAGGACGGAGAAGAATAAACAAACTGTCTTAAGAGGAACAGTAGTTATGTTCTCAGTAAAGTAAATGCTGTCTACTCCTTCTTGACTTTGTATCCTTTCATTAGCCTCCTCTTCAAGGTCAAGTTTCTTCCTCCCTTCCCATTTACTGTCATTTAACTTCTGCCTCTACCCAGCTCCATGTTACTCTACTCCAGCCAACGTCATCAGGAACATGTTAAATGTGTCCCTTTGCAATTTTTGATCTTGTTGGTCTTCTCCTGCTGAAGTGTTGATGATGTCAATGACTCCCTTCCCCAAAAAACCCTCTGCTAGTTCCTGAGATACCTTCTCTCCTGGCTCTGTTTTCTGATGATCCCTGCTCAGTTTCTTTTGTTTCTCAGTTTCTTTTCTCTCTCTTTTCCTCTCTCCCTCCCTCTCTGAGTGTTGTTCCAGTGGTGTTGCTGTTTTGGGTTCAGTTCACAGAGGCTGTGCTTGGATGCTGGTCTCAGCAGGAATCTTAGCATCTCAACCTCACCTGTGCCTAGGGCTTTAGCCATGAGGTGTTGGCTTCTCTTCTCCATGTCCTTCTCAGTCCTCTGTCATCTATTGGATGCCTCCATCGTGTATTCCAAATTATTTGGGCATTTCTGAATCCGCATTCTCAAGACTGAACACATTCCCTCCCTCCACCCACCCCGATGAAATGCATCTTCTCCTGTTTCACCCAGTGTGGACACCACGGCATCGTCTTAATTATATTTATGATCAGTCACTATGCTGAAGACATTACATGCGTTTTTCTCATTGAATCTTCAAAGCAATTTGTTATTTATTTGTTTGAGAGAGAGAGAGAGAGAGAGAGAGAGCGAGAGAGCACAACACGGGCAGAAAGCTGAGGTTCAGGAGGTTAGAAGGCTTGCCCAGCTTTGAAGCAGTAGAGCGTGGATCAGCACCCAGGGCATCTGACCACAGGGTGTCTGTGCCTCGCCAGGCACCACCAGGCCCGTCGGACCTGAGAGCTCAAGCTCCTGACCACGTCACTCTACTGCGACCACAGCAATCACCCGCTGCTCCCAGTGCTGGGGCCACAACGTTCAGGGGGTGCCCAGCCTCCGCAGGTCTGTCTCCTCCAGGCCCACGTCATCTGCTCAGACCCTCATGCTTCCCGTGGACTATGTGGCTTCCCTGCCTCTAGCCTCGCCCACTTCAGTTTCCCCTGCACTCTTCCAGCCCAGCGAGTTTATCAAAGTACATGTTGGATCACATCATTCTCTTAATGAAATCTCCCTTTAAAGTCCAAAAACCCTTAGATCCGCACACAGTGCCCTTCATGAGTGTCGGGTCCTCTGTTTCACTCTCCAGCCTCTGCTCCAACCTTGGGAAGTTCTCCATGGGCAAGGATTATTCTTCCTCATCCTTGAGCCCCAGCCCTGAAGGTTTGTTGAATGAATGAATGCAGTGCTTCTTTGATGCAAAACTTTAATTAAATGTCTCTTTTCTAGATTCCAAAGGAAGCAAGCAATTGAATATTATAAACAAGTGATACAAATAAAGGAAAATACGGGGACTTTTGCCACCTCCTCACTCGTCAGGAAGCAGCTGAGCGTCAGCCTCAGTGACACCTTGTGTAAATTAGGTAATCGTCAGTGTGTTTCTATTAGAAGCCGGGGACTTTTCCCTCTGACCTGCATGCTTTGCTTATTTTTAAAATGTCTTCATTTCTGAAGCAGGAAAGTCCTGTTCCACAGACTTTCAAATTTTTAGGCTCCTTGTGTACCTTCCCTCATTAGGAACGTGTCTTAGTCTGCTTGGGCTGCTAGAACAGGATGCCATAGACTGGCAGGCTGAGCAACTGAGATGTATTTCTTCAAGTTCCAGAGGCCGGGAAGTCTAAGATCAAGGCATCAGTAGACTCGGTGTCTGGTGCAAGTCTGCCTCCTGGTCCATAGACAGCTCTTTTCTCGCTGTGTCCTCACATGGTGGAAGGAAGGGCACCTCTTTTATGAGGGCGCTAATCCCATTCATGAGGGGTGCACCCACATGACCTGATCACCTTTCAAAGGCCTCATCTCCAAATACCATCATTTGGGGGTTAGGACTTCAACATAAGAATTTTTTGGGGGGGGCCGCAAATAGTCCATAACAGAAGGGGATTTTTTTTTTCTTTTTTTTTTTTTTTTTTTTATGTTTTTTTTTTTTTTTTTTTTTTTTTTTTTGGAGAGAGAGACAGAGGGAGCACAACAGGGGGAGGGGCAGAGGGAGAAGCAGGCTCCCCTCTGTGTGGGGCTCCTGAGGCAGAGCTCTATCCCAGGACCCTGAGATCATGACCTGAGCCAAAGGCAGATGCTTGACTGACTGAGCCACTCAGGTACCCCAGAAAGAGATCTTCTAGAAGTCTTTCCATCCCATACCTCACTCACGTGATGGGGCACCATGCCCAGCCATACCCCTCTCCTGGCAGGGTAGGTTCCCTTCCTCCTTCCGATTCTATTTTAAGTCACTGTTTGTATAGGAATCTCCTGTTCATGCTTAGTCCTGTGACACTAAAGTAACAGGTGGCTGAAAATCACAAATGGCTCTTCACATGGACCCACCTTTGATTTTACATATAGAACGTAAGACTCAGTGCCTCAGACCTGGCCCAGAGATTTGAAGGCAATTTCTGATTAAAGATAAAAATTAAGGGGTGCCTGGATGGCTCAGTTGTTAGGCATCTGCTTCAGCTCAGGTCATGATCCCAAGGTCCTGGGATTGAGCCCTCATCGGGCTCCCTGCTCGGCGGGGGGACCTGCTTCTCTCTCTCTCTCCCCCTGCTTGTGTTCCCTCTCTTGTTGTGTCTCTCTCTGTCAGATAAAGAAATAAAATCTTAAAAAAAGAAAAAGATAAAAATTAAAAATTTGAAATGACAGTTAAAAATGGAATTGAAAATGTGGTCTTAAACCTGAGGAGGAGGGGAGGGGTTGGGTGTACTCACTCTTCTCGATACTCGTTTTTCTGGTATTTCTCTTTTGCTTCTCTTCACAGAGGTTCTGATTCTTTCTTTGAGTTTCTTCCACCAGTGTCGTTATTGCCTGTGGTTTGTAGTGCATGCTGACTTACTTCTTCACTGGCACTACTGTTACTGGACCCTAAAATCAGTTTCGTGTGTCTGAGGCCCAGTTAGCTAATCTGAGCCACCATGTCAGAAGCAGAGAAAGCTTTATTACCAGAAGGGCAGACCGATGGGCAGTCAGGGGATGGGTCTTGAACCTGCCTTGTCTTGGTTGAGCATAGGGACAGCTTATGTGGGGCTAATAAAATATGTGGGGGTGAGGGTGGGAACCGGATGGGCCTTGAAACTTCAGAAGGAGAGGCTCAAAACTTCTGGGACATTGCGCTCTGGGGACATCTGGGCTCCAAGCAGTGGTCTCAGAGCATTACTTGTTGGCTTTGTGTCTGTAGGTTATCATGTCTCCTCCCTCCTTGGTTCCTGTTGTGGGCACTGGGACAAAGAAAACAGGGACAAGGTTAATGGTTCTTGCAAGGCTGTGGAGGAATGTGCTGACGTGTAGCCCGCAGGTTATAGGGGATGAAGGGCCTAGTGACAGTTCCCATAGATGAAGAAACATAGGCCCTGGTGAGGTTAGGGTTACATATGAAGGGCGGTCTGCCCGGCTGACTGTTGATGAGCTCCCCAGAGGCCTCCTGAGAGAGGGTCCTCCTCACCAGGCTCTGCTGTAGCCAGGGACCACAGTGGCTGAGCCCTAGCCTTCCCTGCCTCACCACTTATTGGGCCCAGGACCCCATTAGCTTGCTCTGCAAATAGGGGCACATGGTGAGTTCTGTCCTTTACCTGGAGTGTCGCTGCCAAACTTGGGAACCGAGGAGATTGGAGAGTTGAGTTGGGGGCTGCAGATAATTCCCAGACAGCAGGCTGGAGGCCGGCCACAGCGGGAGGGAGGGAGGAAGGGGGTGGGGTGGGGGTGGTCAGAGCTGTGAGTCCCATGCGGCAGGGATGGGGAGGGGTGTGCCTCCAGTGAGCGAGTTCCCTGTTTGCCAGATAGAGACATCTCAGCTTTATTTCTTCTATTAGGTTAGACCAGAAGTCTCAAGTGCCACGACTAGAAAAATTCTGGACTACTGTCAGGGATCATGAAATCTCATTGCCACAAGGCATGGCCAACTTCCACCTAAACAGGTTTTCAGCCCATGCGATACTATCCCTCAGGACAGAAGTCTGGAGAAACCTCAATTGTCAAGATGGGGGGAGGAGAGGAGGTGGGGGAGAGGAGGAGGCAGGGAGCATTACTGTCATTTAGTGGGTGGAGGCCTGGGGTGCTGCTAAACACCCTACGGGGCTCAGGACAGCCCCTCAACAGCAAAAAATTATCCAGGCCAAATGTCAAAGTGCTAAGATTGAGAAACCCTGAGTTAATCAACCACTGTCTCCAGTGTGCATGTTTGTTGTCCATTTTACCATAAAACACAATTGCTTTCAGCCTAGTCATTTCCCAAGGAGGAAGAGGCTTAAATACTTGATACCTGCAGGGAAAGATTATTTTAAGTCCATAGATTTAGGAGTGTGCACATGCGTGCGAGTGCGTGCGAGTGTGTGTGTGTGTGTGTACAGTATTTTGTCAGTAAGCTTTTTCAGGCTGAATACATGAAGGATTTTGTTTACAACCAGAAAATACAGATGCAGATCTATGCAAAAGCAACTGTACACCTAATATGGTTGCTTTGTACGAATAATTTGTTCCCGGTGGTGGAGTCTGTCTATGACGGAGGTATAATGTATTCATTACTCTCAGATAACAAGTTTATTGTCATGTACATCACACTTACGCATGGGAGTGCTCAGCAATGCACAACTCCAAGGGGTGGTTAGGACTAACTTGGCAGGGGAAAGGGAAGGGGAGAAAGGACAAGGACATTTAATAGAAAAGCGAATTATTTTTTGGAAAGATGAATGAACCTTAGGAGAATAAATGAGGTGTCGTTTGTAGCAATGTCTGTCTAGGTGTGGTGCCAGGTTCTTAAGTCCCAGCAGAGAAGATGTGAGTTGCCCTGGGGAGGGAACTTACAATGCTTGAGTCCTTTTGGGGGACTCTGCTTTTAGGCACATGCAGGATTTTAAGAACTCAAAAGCCTTCTGCTCAAAGTAATCCTTAGGTCATTGGGACTGTGGCATGCTTTGGGGTAGCCTTTCTGGATCTCCTTTGCCTACCTTCAATGGAGAGTGTCTTTCTGAATGAAATATGTTTGCGTGGACTCCATCAAATAAGAAGTAAGCCAGAGTCACGTACACTCCCGGCTCCTCACCATGCGCCTTTGCAAACCAAGTCTTGGGCCCACTATAGTAAAATTGTTACCGAACGTGGGTCATCAGAGCACTCCTTCGACGCTATGTAATTTTGCATCAAGGAAAACAAGAGCCACAGTATACTGACCACTACCAGTTATATATTTAGCGCATGTGTATTTTAATCCTTTATAAATTGTAATGCGTAATGCAATTGTAAGCATGTTTTATCTTACCCAACTAGTTTGTAAATCTGGGGTGGTTTGGGAGAATTACGTGCTCTCTAAAGAAAAACAAGCCTCCTACTGTCCCCCATCCCTCCGGAAGCACTCAGCTTGAAGTCGCTCACACCAATGAGCAGGTACAAGAAGTTGCTAACACAAGTCATTGCTTGCATCTGCCCGTTGTGACTTTGGATCGGAGGCCCATGTATGAAACTGTTGGTTCCTTTTGTCTCTAGCTTGTCTCGTGGGGCCATTTCCTAGGGTGCTCTGCAGTGGGCTACCTACCACTTTGAAGTTGTCCCTTAGGTCCTTCAACATAAATTTTATGAATGCCATATGGCCTGTATTTCCATTTAGATCATCCTACACATACCTTCTAAATTTGGGAACAATCTGTCTTGGTCTTTTCTGGTTGCAGTCACAGACAAACAGGTGGAAATAAGGTTCCTTGTGCCTGGAGGACTGTCCTAAGTGTACCCAGGATAGGAAAACAAAAGACAACTTTCGCCTTTCACTAACTGCTTACTTTGTTAGGAGGCAAAACAAGCCTACAATAGAAGATGTAACATGTGGAAGGTTTAGAACATGGCCTGAGTGGAGGAGACTGAACTGGGTTTGAGTTCTCACATGGCTACAATCTGGCATGGGATCCCAACAAGTCACATCCTCTTGGACACAAGTCCATCTCTAGCTCTCTTTGTAAAATAAGGGTGTTGAGTGCTTTGAGGCCCTCTGCAGAGTTGATAGTCCACATTTAAGTGCAAAGGAAGACAGTGATCAGTAGCAGGAGGTTTTTCAGGGAAAACCTCTCTCAAGGAACCCTTAAGGAAGTGAAGGGTGTGAACTGGCAGAGAAGGGCGTGGTTCTAGGGAGAAGACCTGCATGGACAAAGGTAGGAATAAAGAGAGATACGGAGGGGGTCACGGGGGACTGTCATGAGGGGCTATGGGAAAGGGTAGGACAGGAGGTGAAGAAGCAGGTGAGCAGGCAATGGTGGCAGCAGTGTACTGGTCTGTAGGCAGATCTGCGTGTGGGCAA